AAATTACTACAATAAAATAATAGTGAATATGTACAGTAGTTTTCAGTGGTATATATTAAATATATATGTCTTCTTTTCTTAAATCAGCTGTCTTAATTTTCTGTTCAAAGATGCGTACACTTAATAAACTCTCTCTTCTTACCGAGTCCTTATTTATCCTTCACTTTGAAAAGCCAATGTTCAAAGATGTAGGCTTTATCTCTAGCTATATAAATGCATGGCATAAGCCACTTTGTTTCAGAAACCTCAAAGTTGAACTCAGAAACTGCATGAATATAATCATTTCATAAGAAAGAAGTACGTACAGAGAATGGCCAGAAAAACACGTCCAATGAATTTATCATTCATTGTGACATTGATGTTTGTGCTGTGTGGCTCAAACATGATTGTTTGCAGAGGAGAATGGGAATACAAGTGGAGCAAAGAAGCTGCAGAAGAAGCTGAGGCTGTGGCAGCCATAGAATGTTCAGGACATGGAAGAGCATACTTAGATGGTCTTGTTCTTAAAGGCCATCAACCAGTTTGTGAGTGCAATCCATGCTACACTGGATCTGATTGCTCCAAGCTTTTGTCTAATTGCTCTGCCAATGCTGGAAGGTAAATCCTTCTGACAAAATTCAATATACTAACTGCTATTACTTCAACTTATGGTCTCAGTTTTGTAATAGTTTTTTTTTTCTTTTCTTATTAAATATGGTTTTTGCTCTTTAACTATTTTAAAAAAATTATATTTATTTTGATTGTGTAGTTTATGAAACTAATGTAAAACGAGAAGTGAAGATTATATTATAGCCTATTATAAAACTATATTGGTCACATAAAAAATACTCCCTGGAGATCATGTTTTACATATATTATAAAATCCAGCGACGAAATATATATATATTTATTTACTTTGTAAGATATTTACAAAAATTTCTGGAAATCTATACACTGTTTTGTAACAGTAGTCTACACAATTGATATATATATATATATATATAGATAGATAGATATATATATGAGTAATTGATAGTTGTGTTGCACAATTGATATTTTTACCTATCTATATATGTAGGAAGTTGTGCCAAGGCAGTATTTGGTTAATAAAATATTACTTCTCTGAAGTTTATAACTCTACATCAAACCAATCCGAAATATTCAATATTTTTGGTTTTGAAACTCTTTTGAGAATTTTGTTTTTAGTCTTAACCCTAATGTTGACTGTTCATAGCTTTTTATTGTATCCATGTTGACTGTTCAAGTATGACAACACTGATGGTAACTATATGTTGGAAGTCTTGTTTGTCACGTTATTTAAATGTCTAAGAAGGTAGCTTCGTGGAGATTTTTCAATAAACTGTCATATATTCAAATAAGTTGATTGTGATAAATAATTAAGATATTAAAACGTATATTACTAAGAAATTACAATGTTCCTGTCATGACACGAGAAGTCGCTGAGTTAATCATTTTTATTTCCTCAGTTAATATATTCCTTGATAGCAAACTCCGAAAATTGTTAAACAATAAAATTTGGATTAGAAACTTAAAATAAGAATCTGAAAAATTTTAGTAAGAAAAAGATATAATAAAATACTAATTTGTTAGTTTATTCATTTTTTTAATTAACATATGCCAAGGATTATATTCCTTTAATAAAATATATTAATTTACAAAATAATTGATAACTAGTCATATTTATCACTGACCATTTTTTTAGAGCGGTCAAAATGGGTAATAATCTATAGGTCAACCCACCCCACCACAGGTTTAAGCCGGGTTGGGTTTGAAAATATTGTACTTTTTTATGCGAGTCAGATTTCAACCCGGCTCATTTAAACCTAACTCATGGGGGTTGAACTCGTGGTGTGCCGGGTTGGCCCACCAATCCACCTACCTAATTTTACTTTATTAAAATTTAATTTTAATTTTATAAAAAATATTTATTATTTTGTTTTTGCTTGAAAAAATTATTTAAGTTTATTATTTTCAAAATTAATTAAATTGGGAGTGAAATTTGGGAATAAAATTTGTTTAAATTTAAATTATAGAAAGTTTGTAATTTTTTTTATTTAAAAAAAATTATAATTAAGTGAGCCAGTGAGCCAACCTGTTTACCCACTAACCTGTGGTGGGTCGGACCGGATCGGGTCAGGTGACCCGTTTTGACATCTCTACAGTTTTTAATAAATTATTTATTTGGTGATACAAGCCGATCACGTCATAACATATAAATGATAAATTATAAAAGAAAACTTAATTAAATCCTAAATATATAATAAGTTTAAATATTTTTAATTGAGTTTTCAATAAGAAAAAATCATTAAGTTGAGTGCTCTCGTTTTCAACTCATTGATTAATTCGTTTTTTTTGCCCTCACTAATCTTCTCTAATTTATTGGTCAACAACTTATGGGTTGAAAAATATTGAAGAAGAAGATGCAAGTTGATTGACATCTTAGAAATAAGAAAATGGAAAAAATAACTATGTTATCTCGTTGATGTAAAATCAAACGATAAGATACTTAAGCAAAATGAAATATTTCAAACCCTCATTAGAATACAAATTTTTTAATAGAGATTTAATAAAAACATCTACGTTTATAAGGTACTCAAAACTTAATTTATTTTATAAACATTTAAAACTTGACTAATAAAAAAAATTTACATAGAAAATATCCACTAAATTCCTACACAAGGTGAGAGGTAAAAATTCATTGAATGTTAACTGCAGTGGAGATCCATACTTTTTGGAGCCGTTTTGGATGAGACATGCTGCAAGCAGTGCGATATTAGTATCAGGGTGGCACAGAATGGGTTATTTTTACAGTGATGGATCATACATCTCACAACTATTGGTTGAACATATCAAAAAGGTTCATGCCATAGTTGGAAACGCAATCACTGAAGGAAAATACATTGTATTTGGAAGTGGCTCAACTCAACTCCTAAATGCTGCTGTTTATGCCTTTTCTCCCGATACCTCTTCACATTCTCCAGCAAAAGTGGTAGCCACACCACCGTATTACCCTGTAAGTAGTTCCATTCAACACTTATTTCAACAAAATTTCTACGTATTAAAATTGGAGCTTTGTCCTCACATTTCAACAAACATTTTGCAGGTGTATAGAACACAGACAGAATATTTCAATGCTAGGAATTTTAGTTATGAAGGAAGCACATCCTCGTGGATAAACAAGACAGATAGCAGCTCTACATTCATTGAGTTTGTTACTTCACCAAACAATCCTGATGGAAAGCTGACTAAGGGAGTTCTTGAAGGAGATAATGTAAAACAAATCAATGATCGTGCCTATTACTGGCCACATTACACTGCCATTCCTTCACCAGCTGATGATGATCTTATGATCTTCACCATTTCCAAGCTCACAGGTCATGCTGGGAGCAGATTCGGGTGAGATATTTATTATATATTCATCAACAGTTATATAAATTAATCCAATGAAAATGATAAACTTTTTGCTAATGGCTAATCACTGTGATGTTTTAACAGATGGGCAATAATAAAAGATGAAGCAGTGTATGAAAAGATGTTGACGTATTTGGATATGAACACCATGGGAGTTTCCCGTGAGGCTCAGCTGAGAGCTTTAAAGCTTTTCGATGTTGTTCTTGAAGGAGATGATGGAAAAGAGATATTCAAATTTGCTTATTCAACCATGAGACATCGTTGGACAAAGTTGAAAGAAACCATATCTAAATCAAAACGCTTTTCTCTGCAGAAACTGTCTTCCCAATACTGCACCTTCTTCAAAAGGGAAAGAGACCTCTCACCAGGTAAACGTCAATTATTATCATGACATGAAGTGAAAGTTTTCGTTTGTTTTAGCTAACAATTTGGGTTGAATTTGTCAGCTTATGCTTGGTTGAAGTGTGAGAGAGAAGAAGACAAAAACTGCTATGAAATCCTTGAAGCAGCTGGCATCAGTGGTCGTGAAGGAAGCCTATATAGTGCTGATAATCATTACGTGCGTCTCAGTCTCATTAGAAGCAAAGATGACTTTGATATACTCATAAACAAGCTCAATACCCTTGTTGCTAAACAATAGTATCCCAAATATTGTAAACATTACTATCTTTGTGTGGTGCCTAAATAAATAAAACATTGTTTCCAGATTGTAAGAATTGAGTAATACGATAATCAAATTTATCATGTTATCTAATGTATATAGTACAATGGTATAGATTGTCAAAAGAAGAATGTTTACCAATTTCATTAGTGTTTATATAAAAAAATGTCTTTTATATACATTTAGTCTTGTTTTTTTTTTATTACGAAAAAAATAATTGATTGAATATAAGAAGATATTAAGTAATCTAACACTTTTATAAATAAAAAACAATGAAATTACAAACATAGATCATTTAATATATTCCAAAACATATAATAGAAAACATATATGTTTATCGTTGTAGGCGTTTCCTTTCACAAACAAAAGAAATGTATCCTCTTTCCCTTTGTGCCATGTCTTATAATATTACCAATCATACATCATAATCATCGGGTGTTCATGTATGGTGTTAACAATTTCTATTAATGCATCCAAAGGATAATTTGTAGATACACATTGCTTCTTTTTTGGTTTAGGATTTTTGCAATGAATTTGCTATTATATGAAAAAAAAAAAAATAAGTTAAGTAAGTTTTAACTACAAAACATAATTAATAAAGTAGAGCGGACTCCGAAGTGTATATTAATGAATCCAAAATATAATTAATAAGGAGGTTTGATAACGGTTGAAAAACCGTTATTTTTATACTTAATTTTGATATTAAAACATCCTTTTTAACTTAGAAGCTTGCTTCAACTCATGTTTTTGCTTTATTTTTGTGAAGATGAATTTAATGGTTTTGTACTAGATTCCCTTGATTTTGTAGGTTATTGGAATGATTTGAAAGAAGAGTTAAAGTACAAAATGGTTAGAATGCAGAAAAGTCAACTAGAACCAGAAAAGTCAACAGTCAANATAAACATTTAAAACTTGACTAATAAAAAAAATTTACATAGAAAATATCCACTAAATTCCTACACAAGGTGAGAGGTAAAAATTCATTGAATGTTAACTGCAGTGGAGATCCATACTTTTTGGAGCCGTTTTGGATGAGACATGCTGCAAGCAGTGCGATATTAGTATCAGGGTGGCACAGAATGGGTTATTTTTACAGTGATGGATCATACATCTCACAACTATTGGTGGAACATATCAAAAAGGTTCATGCCATAGTTGGAAACGCAATCACTGAAGGAAAATACATTGTATTTGGAAGTGGCTCAACTCAACTCCTAAATGCTGCTGTTTATGCCTTTTCTCCCGATACCTCTTCACATTCTCCAGCAAAAGTGGTAGCCACACCACCGTATTACCCTGTAAGTAGTTCCATTCAACACTTATTTCAACAAAATTTCTACGTATTAAAATTGGAGCTTTGTCCTCACATTTCAACAAACATTTTGCAGGTGTATAGAACACAGACAGAATATTTCAATGCTAGGAATTTTAGTTATGAAGGAAGCACATCCTCGTGGATAAACAAGACAGATAGCAGCTCTACATTCATTGAGTTTGTTACTTCACCAAACAATCCTGATGGAAAGCTGACTAAGGGAGTTCTTGAAGGAGATAATGTAAAACAAATCAATGATCGTGCCTATTACTGGCCACATTACACTGCCATTCCTTCACCAGCTGATGATGATCTTATGATCTTCACCATTTCCAAGCTCACAGGTCATGCTGGGAGCAGATTCGGGTGAGATATTTATTATATATTCATCAACAGTTATATAAATTAATCCAATGAAAATGATAAACTTTTTGCTAATGGCTAATCACTGTGATGTTTTAACAGATGGGCAATAATAAAAGATGAAGCAGTGTATGAAAAGATGTTGACGTATTTGGATATGAACACCATGGGAGTTTCCCGTGAGGCTCAGCTGAGAGCTTTAAAGCTTTTCGATGTTGTTCTTGAAGGAGATGATGGAAAAGAGATATTCAAATTTGCTTATTCAACCATGAGACATCGTTGGACAAAGTTGAAAGAAACCATATCTAAATCAAAACGCTTTTCTCTGCAGAAACTGTCTTCCCAATACTGCACCTTCTTCAAAAGGGAAAGAGACCTCTCACCAGGTAAACGTCAATTATTATCATGACATGAAGTGAAAGTTTTCGTTTGTTTTAGCTAACAATTTGGGTTGAATTTGTCAGCTTATGCTTGGTTGAAGTGTGAGAGAGAAGAAGACAAAAACTGCTATGAAATCCTTGAAGCAGCTGGCATCAGTGGTCGTGAAGGAAGCCTATATAGTGCTGATAATCATTACGTGCGTCTCAGTCTCATTAGAAGCAAAGATGACTTTGATATACTCATAAACAAGCTCAATACCCTTGTTGCTAAACAATAGTATCCCAAATATTGTAAACATTACTATCTTTGTGTGGTGCCTAAATAAATAAAACATTGTTTCCAGATTGTAAGAATTGAGTAATACGATAATCAAATTTATCATGTTATCTAATGTATATAGTACAATGGTATAGATTGTCAAAAGAAGAATGTTTACCAATTTCATTAGTGTTTATATAAAAAAATGTCTTTTATATACATTTAGTCTTGTTTTTTTTTTATTACGAAAAAAATAATTGATTGAATATAAGAAGATATTAAGTAATCTAACACTTTTATAAATAAAAAACAATGAAATTACAAACATAGATCATTTAATATATTCCAAAACATATAATAGAAAACATATATGTTTATCGTTGTAGGCGTTTCCTTTCACAAACAAAAGAAATGTATCCTCTTTCCCTTTGTGCCATGTCTTATAATATTACCAATCATACATCATAATCATCGGGTGTTCATGTATGGTGTTAACAATTTCTATTAATGCATCCAAAGGATAATTTGTAGATACACATTGCTTCTTTTTTGGTTTAGGATTTTTGCAATGAATTTGCTATTATATGAAAAAAAAAAAAATAAGTTAAGTAAGTTTTAACTACAAAACATAATTAATAAAGTAGAGCGGACTCCGAAGTGTATATTAATGAATCCAAAATATAATTAATAAGGAGGTTTGATAACGGTTGAAAAACCGTTATTTTTATACTTAATTTTGATATTAAAACATCCTTTTTAACTTAGAAGCTTGCTTCAACTCATGTTTTTGCTTTATTTTTGTGAAGATGAATTTAATGGTTTTGTACTAGATTCCCTTGATTTTGTAGGTTATTGGAATGATTTGAAAGAAGAGTTAAAGTACAAAATGGTTAGAATGCAGAAAAGTCAACTAGAACCAGAAAAGTCAACAGTCAACCAAAATGCAGAAAAGTCAACTAGTCAACCAGAATGCAGAAAAGTCAACCAAAGTGTAGAAAAAGTTATGTTGAGCGGTAATTTCCGTTGAGCGGTAGTTTTGAACCGAAATCACCGCTGAGTGCCAAATTTATGGGCTTGGACCTGTTTTCTGTGATTTTTATGGGCTTGGACCGATTTTCTATTATTTTTATGTTCTATTTAAGGACTTGCACGCCTTAGGTTTTGTATCTTTTGATGGCTTAAGCACAGAAACACACTTTTCACCCCTTGGGGGTAGATTTGGAGATGGTGACGACTCTCCTCTTCTCTTTCTAGGGTTTTTCTATCTCTTTCATTCTTTCATTCCCCATCTAGTTCTTCCATGATGACGGAGGGCTAACCCTTATTGTTGTTGGGAAAGATGTAACCTTCTTAAACTCTCATGTATTAAATTTGTTCTTCAAGATCTTTTATAAGATACATGCTTTCTTTCATTAATTGTTAGGGTTTTTTCTCTTTGCTCAAAGCATGCATTGTTTAACTCATTCGATGTCATGATTATTGGTTTTGTCAATATGGACACATACGATGAAATCTAGATCTGGGGAATCTCTCCCAACAGTAATATAAACCTAGACATAGGAGTATGATGGTTGGTTGTCTGTAAACTTCTGTTCACTATAATGAATGATTAATTGCTAGGGAGACAAAAGACATTGTAAACTAGTGATTATGATTAGGCTTTCTTCGCCGAGACATCGGGTTTAAGGTAATTTAGAGAGTGACATTAGCATTAATGAAAAGAAAGACGAATTCATAAATACATGAGAGTAAATTAGGTGAAATCTAAACCCCAACAACAATATCATCAACTTCATTCATTCATTCTTTTGTTTAGCCTCAATTGATCAAATTGCATTCATGTTTATTTTATTGCATTCGCATTCAAAAATCCCAAAATATTTTCTTTAGAGTCTTAATTAGTTGAGTAATCACATAACTGTTTAGTGCCGTGAGTCTCTTGGGAAACCATACTTGGTCTTACCATTTATTATTACTTTATACGATTCAGTTACACTTACTGAGGTCTTAACAAGTTTTTGACTCCATTTTCAAGGATCAAAAATTTGTTCATAAAGTTTTTGGTGCCGTTGCCGGAGACTCGTGGTATAACTATTCTATTTGTGTGATTCTTAACTGTTGTCGGGGACTCGTTGGTTTTTGGGTTTTCATGGTTGCAATGCCCTCTTTATATCACCAAAAGGCTACTGTAAAAATCATGGTGCAAGAAATTTTTCATTCTGGTGGGTTTTGAAGCTAGCCAAGTTACGTGGTGAAAGTTGGCTAAGTTGGTGCTTGGTGCCAAGTTTTGGGAAATTTTCAAAGTGTTGGATTTTGGGGTTTGATGGTTGGAATTCACTCTTTATATCACCAAAATGCTACTGTAAAAATCTTGGTGCAAGAAATATTTCATTTTGTTTGGTTTTGAAGCTAGCCAAGTTTGGTGGTGAAAGTTGGCTAAGTTGGTGCTTGGTGTCTAGTTTTGGGAAATTTTCAAAGTGTTGGTTTTTGGGGTTTGATGGTTGGAATGCCCTCTTTATATCACCAAAATGCAACTGTAAAAATCTTGGTTCAAGAAATTTTTCATTTTGGTGGATTTTGAAGCTAGCCAAGTTTGGTGGTGAAACTTGGCTAAGTTTGTGGTGCATGGTGCCAAGTTTTGGGAAATTTTCAGAGTGTTGGATTTTGGGGTTTGATGGTTGGAATGCCCTCTTTATATCACCAAAATGCTACTTTAAAAATCTTGGTGCAAGAAAATTTTCATTTTGGTTGGTTTTGAAGGTAGCCAAGTTTGGTGGTGAAACTTCGCTAAGTTTGTGGCGCATGGTGTAAAGTTTTCGAAAATTTTCAAAGTGTTGGTTTTACGGGTTTGATGGTTGGAATGCCCTCTTTATTACATCATCAAAATGCTACTGTAAAAATCTTGGTGCAAGAAATTTTTCATTTTGGTTGGTTTTGAAGGTAGCCAACTTTGGTGGTGAAACTTGGCTAAGTTTGTGGTGCAGGTGCCAAGTTTTGGGAAATTTTCAAAGTGTTGGTTTTTGGGTTTTGATGGTTGAAATGCCCTCTTTAAATCACTAAAATGATACTGTAAAAATCTTGGTGTAAGAAATTTTTCATTGTGGTGGTTTTTTAAGCTAGCCAAGTTTGGTGGTGAAACTTGGCTAAGTTTGTGGTGCATGGTGCCAAGTTTTGGGAAATTTTTCCAAAGTCTCGTTCGTAAGGGTAGAAGTCCATGGAGGGGAAGAGCTAGGAGCGGTGTACCAGGTATCGAGATTATTGGATCTGACCTCTGCGGGGAAGGTGAATCGAGGTGAAACGATAGAAGATGGGTGAAAAAGCGGGCTGGCGATCTGGATGTTGTCTCTTTTCGACGAATGGTTGCTGTGTTTCTCGTTGGTTTTTTTTTGTAAATTTTTTTTTTTTTTTTTTTTGGGGGGGTTTTTTCTTTTTTTTTTTTTTTTTTGTTTTTATTTTTTTTTTTTGTGTTTTAGTTTTTTTTTTTTTTTTTGTTTTTTTTTTTTTTTTTTGCTCTTGGAATGGCCTCTTTTATAACCATAGGCTACTGCTTTGTTTGTATGTTAAATACAAATGTAAAAAACTGGTTTAGTAGGTTGTAGTCGTATTCGTAAAGGTTTTTGTTTCCCCTCTCCCTCCCGGTCCTTGTTGTTTCCTCCTGGTGTTTCTGTAATTTTATACTGTTTAGCTCCTGTGTTTTCAGTCCCTCTACCGTGGTGTTGTCCTACCAGGTCGGTTCTCCTCCCCGTTTGTTTCTGGTTCCTTTTACGTGCCTTATCTTGTTGGTGTGCTGTGTGGGTCACTTGCTGTAATGTCTCTTTCACGTTACGCTGGTGTGTTGTCTGTCCTGGTGTGGCTGGCGTCTGGTTCGGGTGAAGTGTTCTAGTACTGTGGTAAGGTGTGTACTGTATGTTGTGTAATGTGGTAAGGGGCTGCTTGGGTGTTGCTGTCCCCGTTTCGTTGTTCCTTTGATTTCCGGTCCTCGTTTCATGTCCATCCTCCGCGATCGTCCTCTTTGGTCTCTCTTTTTCCCCTCTGTTTACTTTTTTGTGTTCCCTCCTGTCTCGTGGGCCTTCCTGTGGTGGTCCTGGTCCCCCCTTGCCTGGTGTTCTTGCTTCTTGCTGTTTATCTCTCTCTGTTTCGGCCTCCGGTCCCCCGTCCCTTCACGGTTCTCTTTTCTGGTTCACGTCCTTTTATCGTCCTCTTTTGGTTCTCCCCGTCCCTGCCTGTTCGGTTTGTCTGTTCGTCCGTTCTCTTCCGTCGTTGTCCTTTCCCCCCCCTCTCCCCTTCGTGGTCTCTTCCCGTGTTTCTCATGTCGTCCCTTCTCTTTCCCTTCTCGTCTTTTGTTTCTCCTCTTCTTGGGGTTTCCCCCTGTTCGTCCGTTGTACCTGTTTCCTGTGTTTGTCTCTCCCTCTTCGTGTCCTCGTCTGGTTCTCTCCCTTTTGGGTCCCCCCTCTGTGCTCGTCCGATCCCTTCCTGTCCCTTGTCCGGGTTTTGTTTTCGGGTCCCCCCATTTGTCTCTTTCTCCCTGGTCCTGTTCTCCCGTCGTTATCCCCTCTCCGTCTGCTCCCCCTGCTTCTCCCTTCTTGGTCGTCTTTTTCCTACCCTCACTGTTCCTGTTGTGTTGTTCGTTTTGTCTGTTTAGTTTTTTGTCGTGGTAGGTGTTAAATAGTACTGTCGTGGTAATTTATGGTTTTCAATATGGTTTTAACCTGTCCTCTGTCCTGTTGTTCCTTTTCCCTTCTCTGTTCCCTGGTCCTCCCTCCCCTCCCCCTGTCCCCTTAAAGTGGTGTCTGTTGTCTGTTATGCTGTATCGTAGTTAAACTGTATGTAAAGGTTGTTGGTATAATTTAGCTGTAAGTAATTTTCAGTAAAAAACTGGTAGTGTTTATACATTGGTGTAGGTAGTGTTATCGGTTTTTTGCCACTGGTACTGTTTGATATGGTATATTTGTGTTGTGTTTACATTCTTCAACATGTAAATTTCGTTAGTCACTGTTTTGTAACAGTCATTGTGGTTTAGTTGTCACTCATTCACTTTCTGTTACCATCTACTTGTAAGGTTAATGTAAATGTAAACTGTTTTGTGTATAAT